TATAAATGTTGTGCACAGTTGCAGACTGAACGAGGCAACAATGTGGAATTGTCTGCAATTCCTGTGTAATCCAGTTGGACTTATTTGCCCTCAGCTTCATCTAAGCATAAGCTTCAGTAAATTCTGTCGAAATTATTTGCCTTCAGCTTCATCTATGCACAAGCTTCAGTAAATTCTGTCGAACTTATTTCCCCCCAGCTTCGCCTAAGCATAAACCTCACAAATGAGGAAATCGCTTACTGAAGGCGGGTTTTTGTAAGACAAATCCTACTCGCATAAGCTCAGTTTTTGTTGCTTTTGCTTTTTTTGCTTTTGATTACAGGCTCCAGTTCTTTGATTTTGCTTTTCTTTCATTCACAAATTCAAGTCTGTTTTAATTTACTTTTCTTTGTAGTGCCGTTTTGGTTTATTTTCCTCTTTACTGCTGCCTGTAGTTCTTGTTTCGAATTCCTGACTAGCACGCTTCTTCCCCTCCTGTATCGTGTCCCCGATCCCTGCCTCCAGAGCCGCATATTCCCACCTAGTGTGTCATCCTCCCGTTTTAAAATCTTCGTTCATGCGCGCTTAGAAGTTGCGTACTGATCCCAGAAAAAAATATGCGTATTTCTTTGGCGGGAAACGGTTTCGCGGATCAGACAAGATAGAAAGCTAAAAGTTCGCAGTGATATTCTCTGTGCATGTGCGAGCTGAAAATTTCAAATTCAGCTATCGTGTACGATTATGCGGTGCGTACGGTTACGTCAAAGTTCGCAGTTGGCACAATGCTACTCGAAAACTAGTTGGAAAACAGTCGCTGAAATCTTGTCAGAGTATTCATCACTCATATGGGAAGTCGTATAACTAAACTGAGTTCCGATTTGCACTTGCGGCATGACTTAGGGCAGTTCAAAGATATCTGTAGCGAAGTGGCTATTTTATTTACCAGGCAAGCTGCAAAACTGGGACTTTGCAAGGATATTGTATACTTACGTGCAGTCTTAATTCAGCTTGGAGGTGAAATTCCCCTTACACAGACATGAGAATCACTCAATTTTATCGTAAACTCAAAAGCGAGTGCGTTTTGCGGACTTCACCATCTCGACTCCCTTCAATTTTATATTTTTTCGAAAGGCGAGCATTTACCAGAAAAATGACCGAGCTTCATGCAAAGAACTGATAGCTATGCATCTGAAGGTCCATCCGGCCCTGTAATGCAACACTTTCATCCCAATCGACAACACTTTCATCCCAATCTTTCCCTTGTATGCGGGAAGAGGCCAAAACACAGCCAATATGAATCCAACTTTTAGGCTACAGTACAGAAATTATTCCTGCGATTAGCGATCTGTAAGTCTGGTGCAAAAACGCGTGGTAGTACCGGCAAACCCGGTACGTTGCAGCCTAGGTTTCACTAAAATTGAAGCAATCAAGTTGTTAACTATATGAATGACCCTTGCCTTACACTTACCTTTTGCGCTCACTAGTGTGAATTACGTAAATTTTGCACAAAAGGAAGTAAACAGTTTCTGTCGAACAGTTGCTCTTTAAAAATGAACTAACTGCTCAGTGGTTAACTTCCCCGCTAAAACTTTTGAGTGCCCGTACGTAAGAACCACGGACACCCACTGCTGGGTTTGAAATCTTCAAGTTCTGCTTGGTCAGGGAAAATTCCGCTAAATTCCAGCTTTCCAGCTTTTCTGGTCCTTGATTTAGAAATTTTCCCGCCAAAACTTCACATGCCTGTAGGTAAAAACCATGCATACTTGAGAGCTGAATTTGAATTCTTTACTTTGTACGTGGATGGGGAACATCCCCTTAAAATTTCAGTTCCTCTCCCCACCCCCTTTCCAGATTTTATAGCTCCCAAGTTAGCAATCCCAAAATTCTCACGTAACCGTACGTGAGAACAACTCCTTCCATGTATACATGGGCACTGAATTTGAAATATTTGTGTCTTACGTGGATGGAGAACATCCCCTTAAAATTTCAGCCTCCCAGCTGTTCCAGTTCCCCAGTTAGCAGTATTCCCGCCAAAAATTTTACGTTCCCACATGTGATTATTACGCATAACTGGGTGCTGAATTTGAAGTCTTTAAGTTGTGCTTGAACGGGCAATATCCCCTCAAAATTTCAGCCATCCAACTTCTGTAGTTCCCGAATTAGCAACCTCCCCGCCAAAAATTTTCAAGGGCCTACCCAGGGGAATCACGTACAGCTGGAGCTGTCGAAAAATGAGGACCCCCCGATTTCGTCGCCTGGTTGCTCCTGGAATCTTTCGCTTCCTTCAGATATTTGACGCGCCCATACGATTAATACAAGCACGCTTGTAACTGAAATTGTATGTCTGCAGGCTCTCACATGAACAGCAGGTATTTTGGCAATCACGAAAACTCGGTTCGGCTGGCAGACGGCCGGTGTTCGAAAGCGCTCTAGCATCTCTGCCAGCGCTATTTTGCGACGCCGCTCGCCGGAGTGGCTTGGCAGTTTGCCAAACGCTGGGTAGCCCTACCCAGCGTTTGTGGCAATTGCAAATAAGATAAACAAAATTATTAAATAAAGTAAGATAAAACGTTGAAAAAAATTTTTTTGGTGGTAAGAAATGCTTCAGTCCATTAAGTCGTATACATTTCTTACCATTACCACAATTGGACCTCGTCAGTACGACGATTGTGGTGATTAGTAAGAATTTGATTAAAATTTAAATTGTTTTGTTAGAATGGATAGATAAAGTAATAAGTTAAATGGTTAATAAAGAAAAAGAGTGAGTGGAGTTGATATATGAAATCTTACCGTAGAAGGGGTTCCAGATGGATTTTTCTAGAGAGACACCTGTAATATTGTTTATTAATGTTAGTTGCGTAAAGAATTCGTCTAGTATATCTATGGAAAAACTGAATTATATTATTATTGCAGTACTAATATTATGAATGTTTTAGGTAATAATATTGGTGATATTATAATGGCGACATTATAATTAATAATAAGTAAAAGTAAAATAAGCAAGAAAGTGAGAAAGTAAAAGTAAGAGGGGCAAAGGTTAAGGGACAAGAGTAATGTAGCTTGGTTAGAGGGTATTAGGAAGGTAGTTAGATAGGGGGAAATGGATGGATAGCGGGGAAAAAAAAGGACATGGAAGAAGAAAAATTTTTTTGGGTAAGGAAGGGAAAAAAGTGTAGAATAAGGAAGGGGAAAAAGGGAAGGGAAAGATTTAGGATAAAAAGGGAGAAATGAAGTGAATTAGTGGCTAGATGAAGACAGATTGAAGAGGGTGAAATTGTAAATGAAGGGGAATTAGAAGCGTAAATGTAAAAATTAGAAAAGATGTAAATCTAATATAAAATTTTTTTTTTTGAATAATAAAGTAGTATAACCAGGGTATAACCAGGAAGACGTGTGTATAAAATTACACAAAATTATCTGTGTAATATATGAATGTGTTTGATTCAATAATTTATTGATATTGATATTACTGGGGTAAAAATATTTAGCAAAATGAAATCTGTAACGTGGAAAAAATGAGCGGCAAATCTAATTTATACTGATCTAATCTTCGAATCTTATATATTTTTAATATGTTGATGGCATCTCTTATAAAACCACCAACACTTGATTCTATATGCACAAAAAGTAATAATTGACTGTAGATGATATTATTATTTATACGAGGGTGAACGTTACTGTTTAAATATGAGTATCTGCTAACAGTGAAGTTGTAATTGTTGGTTTTATTTTGTAAAGATTAGTATGAATACCTGTTCGATTTGAAAGGCTAAAAGTGATGCCTAAAAAATTTATTGAATTACCACAACCTGTTATCTCCAATTCTTATTCATTACCATAAATACATCTTGTTGTTCTTGAAAAATCTTCTATATCTACAGCAAATAAGTCATCAATACATCGACACATCGATAAATGCGGATTTGTAGCAACTGTAGAACATTTATATTCTAGTATACTTAAAGTTAGGTCTGCAATATCCGAGCTCATCCTTTCCATTCATCACCCCTCCCCTCCCCCTCAAAATATACAGAACCTAGCCAACTGACAAAGGATCTACGTCACTTAGTCCTTAAATCCACCTCTCCCAATTTCCCTTTATCTCGAACGAAACCAGTAACATACCGACCCTCCTGCCATCTACTACATTCGAACTATTGCTATCCGCCATGGGGTGGCTCTCCTACGTCGGCAAAATAAATTTTTTGCAGATCGTGTATGAGACTGGCCGAGCCGAGCCGAGCTTTTGTAATTGCCGCAATTACCGCCCATTCACATAGGCGCAACAACATG